TCTACAACGTAAATGCGCCACACACCTTGAGATATAAGTTCTAAGGTCTCAGTATAGTTACAACGGCTACCCCACCCTTCAAACCGAAACGCATTAGTGCTTCACGGCAGAAATAGGCGGGGCGGTGGTACCTACCCGCGCGGACTCACAAGAGGTCCTACCACCAGTATTATAAACTTATATCATATTTCTGATCTTATCATCTGTAAGTACGTCGGGTAATCATCATTTGCAAATTATGATGTGGTATAATAACATAAATGGTAATCAGAGATCAAATACCACACAAACACATGAGTTCTAAATCTCAAATGATTATACAATTGGTGTACGTCAACAAAACGATATCTATAGAAGCAAAATCCATCTAGACTTCATTTATTTTCGTCACATACTCAGTTCGAAATACCATCTGGAACACAAGCGGTTGTTGATCCCAACGCAAATAACCAAGGCAATTTACGTGCTCTATTTCAAGTCTGTCTCCAATGATATTAGTGCAAGATTATGATCCGTATTCAAATTGCATTCAATTTGCAATTGTAGAAAATAAATTGAGGCCGTCAGCGTAAAAGTGACCTAAGCTTACTAAAGTTATTATTTATTACTGGTGGTAGGGCCTCTTGTGAGTCCACGCGGGTAGGTACCACCACCCTGTTTGTTTCTGCCGTGAAGCACTAATGCGTTTCGGTTTGAAGGGTGGGGCAGCCGTTGTAACGATACTGAGACCTTACAACTTATATCTCAAAGTGGGTGGCGCATTTACGTTGTAGATGTTTATGGGCTCCAGTAACCACTTAACACCAGGTGGGATGTGAGCTCGTCCACCCATCTAAGCAAAAAAAAAAAGTGCTCAGCGTCCTAACTTCAGGCACCGGTATTTGTTAGAGCGGACGCGTGCTGCGTAACAATATACTGTAAAGATGATGTGCCTACATCCACTGGCCTTTATCGATATAAATCAGCTCCGGAGTTACGATAGAATTAAATATTAATGTTGCCCATTGGCACACACGTCCGGCTGTTTCCTGGAACTGACGTTTCGATGAGCCCAACGTATGTATGCGTAGTGAATATTAATGGTTTTCCTTTTGTGTGTTTGGTCGCGAAACCTTAATGCGATTTTTGTGAACTCGTATGGTCGTGACTAGTGGAAAAGCGCTAGTATTTTATATGTTCTTTATTAAGAAGACTGTCTAGAGAAGGATACGCTAATTGGACTCTGATATAAATAGATTAAGTTAGAAAAGAACGCGATAATACTTCTACTGTGGATAGATTTTGGGACAAGTAAAAACGATAGGTAGCCTGCATCAGTGGTTCATGTAAGTTTTGGCTTTATTATTGATCTCTCCATTTCTAACATGACTAAAACCTCGAACTCTAAGTCCGCCTAGACGGTACTGGTACAGCCCATCGAATCAGCCCGTTGAGTTTCTGAGCGAATCTTCTCAGCGAGCTGGTTTCCGATCGAGTGGTAGATGCATTTGCGAAGCAGCTACTTTTGTAATGTTTTTCCTCTGGAGCGCTCAATCAGCTATTAGCAACTTTTACCTCCTTCTGAAAGATCTTTGAGACGTACCAGTTATTCGTTATTCATCCGACTTCGGCTCCGGGGGCGGTGGCCAATAATTTCAGCACTTTTGACAAAGCATACTGTGGCGAGTGAGCAAGTCAACTCGCACATCTCAACACAGCACCGAAATTATACGATTTTGCGTCATTTCAGGTGATCCAAGTGCCGTGTACAAAGCTAGTTAAACCACGCCCCCTCCACCATGTCGCCGACGCATCTTATTTGTTGAAGTGGTAAAGAGACAAGATGGCCACGCTTTGATCTATTGTTCTTCAGGCGGAGGACATGTTGAAAGGGGCGGCAACTCCTACGCAAAATTATTATTGACTAGTTTTAATATTTACTATAAATACGATTGTGCCGTAATCGTAACACAGACCATTTCTGGAATAATTCACATACGTAAACCCAGAGACACAGCGGAGTTCGGATTCAATTTCAGAAACCTATAATTGAGCAGCACTACACGTGGCGAACTTTTGGAGCTTCTGTAACGACTTTAAAAGGATTAGCAATGAGTTTTCTCTTGTAGTTTTCCTACTTAAGTTGATAGCCTTGAGAGGCTTGCGAGGCTTGAGAGGCTATTTTAGCGTAACCTTAACTAGTAGGTGAGCTCACGGGGCTCAAACCTGACGACGGTGCTAACAGAAACCCTAGCAAGAACCGTGCTTCGCAGAATCTACCACCTACCTACCTACCGGATCGGAAACGCGACCCACTGAGAAGATCCGACGAGAAACTCAGTAGGCTGTGTCTGTGGGTTAATTTACTCGTCGAGTCCTTCGTCGCAAGTGACGGGTTCGACGAGAACGATGACCGGGTTCTCTCTAACACTTGCTCGCTTCTATAAGCTGAGGTGTCTGTTATTATTCCGCCACATCCATCACAGGGAAACCACCGGATTGTGTGCATATGACAGCCAGCGAGTTACGTAAGCCGCGGCATATCGATAAATCACGAGAAACAATCCAATGCCCGCAAACTGGGCCTACGGGAGCAATCCGTACGATACGTTTTCACAAAATTAATATTAGCCACAACGTGTTTATAGGTTACGACACGATTTTAATATCGGACACGATTATTTTTCTTAGTTTCTATTCCTTAAGTTATCTTCTTCTTTCTTCTTCTCCATCGCTCCCTGATTACTGAAGATCGTGACTCCGTTTCGGCTTGTCAACTGCCAGCCTCCGTCGGCTCCGCTCAGTTGCCTGGTGTAGTGCAGCGCTAAGTGGTCTGCTGGTTTGCTCGGAGATCTGGTCGGACCTACGTTTGGGGCTCCGGCCTCTAAGACGTTTTCCTTCTACTTTTCCGGTGACCATCAGACGTTCCGAGCTATCTACACCTCTGCGGGATACGTGGCCATAGTAGCGCATTATGCGTTGCAGACAGGTGGTAGACAGGCGTTGAGCGTTCTCCTTTTTAAGCTGTTGTAGGACCAAGACGTTCGTGCGGGTGGGCTGTCCATGGAATCCTTAATAGGCGGCGCCAACACCACACTTCAAAAGCATCAACTTCACATCAACAAATAAGTTACCTTAAGTTAGAATTATTTAAGGAATTATTATTTACGTTTCCTGAAGCGTCATACATGAGATATGGGAGTAATTAGTATTAAATTTATCTTGAAAATGACGAAATTGTAACGGTAATATCCAAAAGTCAACAAAACAGCACCACTGGGGATATGACTATTGTGTTATGTATTTTAAATTTAACATTTAATAAACATTATTCAAATCCACATAAAGTCTTTGAAAAAATAAAATTTAGATTTTGAATCTAGGGACTTCCCCGTTAAAAAATAGTATACATTTTTTGTCAAGAATTTATACTTTGCAATTATGATATTTACTCGTAATTTACGCCTAATTTGAAGCGTTATAACTGTACGTTAATTTTAAATTATTATTAATTAGTTAAATCTCTCTACGTTTATACGCATTTTTCCTTTTTTTATTACTTAGATGGGTGGACGAGCTCACAGACCACCTGATATGAAGTGGTTACTGGAGCCCATAGACATCTACAACGTAAATGCGTCACTCACCTTGAGATATAAGTTCTAAGGTCCCAAGTATAGTTACAACGGCTGCCCCACCCTTCAAACCGAAACGCATTACTGCTTCACGGTGGAAATAGGCAGTGTGGTGGTACCTACCCGCGCGGACTCACAAGAGGTCCTACCACCATTAAAGACTTTACTATTACACCGGAGAAAAATTGAATCCCACGGCCTGGAGCTATTGTTTTCATCGGTGTTACATTTTTGGAGATCTTTTTTGGAATAAACTACCTATCACGGTCTTCCCGATCACTATGATATGTTCTTTTACAGACGAGGCTGGTAGAGAATCCTTCTCTGTAGACTGCGACTTGGCTAATGCCTCGGTCATGTCAGTTGCCATGTTAATGATAACCAAACTCCACCACAAGAGCCGTATACTCGTCTGTCATAATTGCTAATTAAAATCCTCACATTATTTTATACCATCCGATTATTCGAAAAAATCGTCTCGGACATTATAAATCATTATTCATGTATTACGATGATTCGAAAAACAGAAGAATATGTAAGGTATTGTGTTATCGTAGAGCACGAGGGAATATTGTTATTATTTGTTTTTCTAATAATGTCACATGGCCCTATTCTTTATTGATCTAATCAAGTACTAGATAGTATTAGGTGATATTGAGCGCCGTACTAGGTATGGATATTATTGTAATTCATTGCTCATTCAAATTGACCAATTGTAATTTTATCACACTGTTATTATCAATATCAGTTATACTACGCTGTTTACTTTATGGTATGTACTATTTAGGGGTTTCGTTAAGGTCAAATGAGTTGTGCGCTCGCTTTTTCCATATCAATTTATTTATTTAGTTTTTATTGCTATAATGAGTGGACGAGTAGTATCGTTGTAGATGTCTATGGGCTCCAGTAACCACTTAATATCAGGTGGACCGTATGCTCGTCTGCCTACAAGGATAATAAAAAAAAGATGTGTGGTGTCGTGGGACACCGGATAGGAACAAAGTTCCTTATTATAAAATATTAATTTTAAATTCTATTCGAGGTATAAAGAAAATAGTTATTCGGGTATACATTTTTTACTATGATTTTTTTTATTGATAAAAAAAAAACTACTTTACAAAGTTATCAACTTTATTTTATTCACAATGATTTATAAATAATATATAATAATAATATACAAAGAAACAGCTATTTATATGAGTAATAATAATAACCGTCATCACTTAGACTAATACATTAGACACTGTATAGCCATACTAAGACTATACATAAATAATAAAAATCTTACGTTACGGACGCTTTTTCCCGGTTAGGGTACCCCTCCGCATCGTCCCATATGGAACTTCATTCCAAAAAGCATAATTCTGATTAAGAATTTCTTTACAGGCAGTGGACTACTTGAAGAAAAGAACACCAGCGAGGGCAGCGCTGATGATAGCAGCGGTTTGGCTAATGAGTGCACTGGTGTGCATTCCTCCACTCCTCGGTTGGAGAGTCAGCAGGCCACTAGAGCAGTTTCCACAATGCAAGGTAAGTTTTTGCGTTAACTTATCTAGGGACTGAATCGGAAGGTTTTATATCAACGCGTTTTTTCGCTGTCGTTTTAAAACGGGTGTGTGTTAATATTGTTATGCGCTGGGGTTCGGGATAAATAAAATTCTACCGAATTACAAGTTAGCACTGTATTAGCACTTAGGAGTACTTAAAACACTGACTTCACAAATACTTTAAAATTCTCAATTCGCTTCAGGTGATTCGTTCGCTGTTTCACATCGAGTAATTCCGTTTACTGACTGACTGCGTTTTATCTCTGCAACGTTTTTATAGCCGATATCGCATTCCTAGAATTATCGAGAATATTCCACACATTTCGAGTACTGTGTTTCCACTATCTAGCAATAGATGGCGTTGTACTTCTCGAGCGTTACTCTTACCGTCCTAACAGTATTGTACCACACTTCAATAGAAGATATATTTAGCTTAGTTTTATGGCTACTTTTCGTCGAAGAGGATGAATGTTCGTACGAGTTTTATGTTTTTAGGTATTTCTGTTCATTGACTATGACGGCAGATTAGCTAGTTATGACATATTGTCATCGCACGTAGATAATAGCAATGCTAGGATGTTGGATATGCCCCTCAAGAAACACCGCGAGAAGTAGGATATTGGCTTGAAACGAACTGGAGATGAACATCGATTTTTGGCTAGTGGTGAGATGGTAAAAAGGAGGTGACAAGATTCAAACGATTACTGAGTGAACTCGCCATGAATGTACGGCAGCAATATGAACAATGCACTAAGTCTCCGTCGACCAAAGGAGCTTTCAATGATCCGAATTCCGGCAATCGAACGCCATAAGACTATTTAAAAATAAAACTTCACAATCAAAGCTTACATATTTCAAAAGGTACCAACCTTAAAACTGAAGTATATCTCTGAAGCGTTACCAACATTGTAATCTAGAGATTACATGTTAGAATTATACAGAACCTCCCCGTTGAATTTCGAAGGATAATTCCGCGTGAGATAATTTAGTTAATGGCCTTTGGATTCGTGAATTTTAGGGGTAAAGATTTTTCTTGTCCGTCCCTTTATGGAGTTAGTGAAATGTTGAAAATGTTCGATTAAAAGAATTTGAGGGGAATTAAGTTGAAATCTGACTGACGTATACTCGTAATGTAGGCATTGTTTTCGCTCATTCTGGTCCTTTTGCGAGCTTAAGGAATTCTCTCAAATCTAATGTGACAAACCATTTACATGAGCTTAGCTGTGTACACTTCCTTTTTTTTATTGCCCTTGGAGGCAGACCAGCATACGGCCCACCTGGTGGTGAGTGGTTACCGTCGCCCATGGACGTGAGCAATGCCAAGGGCAGAGCCAAGCCGCTGCCTACTGTTAAGTACTCTCCATAAGCCTAGTTTGAAGGAGAATATGTCATAGCACTCGGGAAACACCGTGGAGGGGAGCTCATTTTAAAGCCGGATGGTACGTGGCAAAAAATATATCTGGAAACGCACTGTGGGTGAACGCAGTGGCTCCAGGTAGTATGGAACTCTACTCCGACGGCAGGCGGTGCGATGGTAAAAGCGAGATGATGGGATCATCTCAAACAATTCCTCAGAGCGCTCCATATGGAACAATGCCGGTTTTATGTTAGCTTTATTCTGATAAATGAGTTATCACGTCATTTGACAGTCTCCCTCTGACTCGACTTTAAAGTCAAGGTCTCGGTATCTACCGTCTTCAAATGATCTTAACTACTGCTCTGGTCGACCCCAATTTTTGAGCATTAGCCCAACAAGAATATTTTGCTATTTTGCTTTTTATATATTCTTGAAAAATGGTTTTAAATTTAATAATCAGTTAATGTTAATAGTGTAATAAGTTTTTCTTATTATTTTTTTATTGAATAGATGGATCCATCCTTCGTTCACGAACTCACAGCCCCTCTGATGTTAAACGGTTACCGGAGCTCATAGACATCTTTAACGTAAATGCCGCTACCCACCTTGAAATATGAGTTCGAAGGTCTCAGTATAGTTACAACGGCTGTCCCATCCTTCAAACCGAAACGCATTACTGCTTCACGGCAGAAATAGTCAGGGCGGTGGTACCTACCCGAGTGGACTCACGGACGTCCTACCACCAGTAATTTTATCGTTAATTAGAGTGCAAGTTGCCTTAGAGTACGACATTCGTTACTATCACAATGTGATGTCATTCGACTTGTTATAACTACGGGATTAACTTCCCAGCTACACAAAAGAAAATAAAGAAAACCTTTCCACCATATTTTACTAAGAAGGTCCGTTTATAAATCAAGACGAAATCTTAGTTGACCCCAAACGATAAGATCAGTTCTTAAAAATGAATCCCTTAATTTTGTAGATCAGAATTTCGGTCACGGCTTGAAACTACGAAGTTAAAATTAAAAGTATCACTAATTTATGATAGGTAGATATAATGGAGTGTAGTTGGTTGGCCACGAAGTTAGAGGGTATCGATTTCTTCAAAATTTTACAGCGTATGTATCTATATTTTAATTTGGCGTTTTTAGTGGGCTATAAGAGCATAAGGTACTACCAACGGGACATCATGCTCTGAATTTTCTTACTTTTATAGATACATAAGTGTTAACTTTCAATCGTACTTGATGGTGAGTAGTGTGAGCTTTTATTTGTTAATTAATTAAATAATTCTCGGTATCTATTTTTCGTGTGTATCTAGAACGATCTATTGGATGGAAAGAGATCGCTACGGGAATGTGGCGAGGTCAGGGCGAGGTTGGCAGCAAACCCGCAAGGTTCAGTCTTCTGTCCAAAAATGAATTATATTTAACAAATTACACCGTTATACCACCGCTCAAACTCAACTGACATTTTATATGGTGTTGCCAATTTTCATTTCCAAACGCGCCCAAGACATTATGGGGTTATCTTTCCACGACGTATAAGGGCGGTCCCATCCTTATAACTTTAAGTCGTGGAAAAAAAAGCACCATTGTAATGTCAGCTGAGTTTGATTCTGCGAAGCACTGCTCTTGCTAGGGTTAGTGTTAGCAACATCGTCAGGTTTGAGCCCCGCGAGCTCACCTACTTGTTAGGGTTACGCTGAAATGGCCTCTCCAGGCCATCAGTTTAGGTAGAAAAAAAAAACACATCCTTCAAATCGAACTAGTAGCTATTTTAGACGAGGTAAGCCCGATAGTTAGTCGTCGTGGCCTAAAGGATAAGACGTCCGGTGTATTCGTATGTAGAGATGCACCGGTGTTCGAATCCCGCAGGCGGGTACCAATTTTTTTGATGAAATACGTACTTAATAAATGTTCACGATTGACTTCCACGGTGAAGGAATAACATCGTGTAATAAAAATCAAACCCGCAAAATTATAATTTGCGTAATCACTGGTGGTAGGACCTCTCGGAAGTCCGCACGGGTAGGTACCACCACCCCGCCTATTTCCGTCGTGAAGCGGTAATGTGTTTCGGTTCGCAGGGTGTGGTAGCCGTTGTAACTATACTGAGACCGTAGAACTTATATCTCGAGGTGGGTGGCGCATTTACGTTGTAGATGTCTATGGGCTCCAGTAACCACTTAACACCAGGTGGGCTGTGAGCTCGTCCACCCATCTAGCAATAAAAAAAAAATAGCTCATCAATGTACTGTGGTACGTCGTTGATTTAAAGTATCATAATAATTCAGAGAGAGAAAAAAACGCTTAAAAAATCCCGTCCGCTGTTTTAGTGGCCATACCCGTAAAAGAGATGGTAAATTGCGTTTACGATAAAAATAACTTAATATTCGGTAGCGGCGTGATTTCACGATAAAAACGTCCGAAGCTGGCCGTAAACTGTTACTTTTTAATACCCACGGTGCACGTAGGAAATACGAAAAGTTCTCGGAAGAAGTTTGTTCTTTATTACTGCACTCGGGCAGATGACCTCACAGCTCATCCCGTGGTCCATTAAGTCCTCAAAACCAAAACCTTAACACACAAGATCAGAATTTCAAATTTTGTTGTACAGCATACTTGCCGGGAACGTGTTATGAGCTTCTTCTATTCATCATGCGGTCTCCCAGACATTAATTAGAGAAGCTCATTATTGCTTGTCGCATAGAGGGCAAGCGCGCCGTGGGCAGAACACCAGCCAGATGGTCAGATCTAGCAAGAGAAGCACTTGGTGGTAGTCTGTACCATGCAGTCCATGCCACCCATGATCGAGCACAGTGGAAGAACGTCACATGTGGTCGCGATCTTCAGTAGTGAGGGAACGATATAGAAGAAGAATACTTGCTCTCGCAATGCACATATGTTTTACGATAGAAATAGGCAGGATCATAGTTCCTATCAATACGTTTGTTACATAGATTCTGAATTAAAAATAGCTTTAAATTTGCTGCATACAATATTCCAACAACAAACTTAACCAACGCTACTATTAATTTGAAACTAAATCGAACCAAAGGTAACTATTATTGGGTTGATTTTGCATTGATCGCAAAACATAGCCGTAGCTATATGACACGCGAAGCTTTAAAGTCGTCGTGGTCTGAAGGATAAGATTGTCGGTTTTTTTTATTTAATTGCTTAGATGTGTGGACGAGCTCACAGCCCGCCTGGTGTTAAGTGGTTACTGGAGCCCATAGACATCTACAACGTAAAATGCGCCACCCACCTTAAGATATAAGCTCTAAGGTCTCAAGTATAGTTACAACGGCTGCTCGCCCTTCAAACCGAAACGCATTACTGCTTCACGGCAGAAATAGGTAGGGCGGTGGTTGGTACCTACCCTTGCGGACTCACAAGAGGTCCTATCACCAGTAAATGGCCGAGGCCAGGCCGAGAATAGAACATCGTAGACTGTGGTATCGCATAGACACTACTTACTACTACTACTACTACTACTACTACTACTACTACTACTACTACTACACTTACTACTAATACTACTACTACTACTTACTGCTATCTGTGACGACGAAATACAGTAAATAATTCGAAACGTATGAATTAGTAAGGACAGTATAA